TGGTTTTCCATTTCCTCAGCCATACAAGGAGGCTAATATTGTCTTAGGTGAGTTGGTGCAACTATAAGATTTGTAACTATATACAGAATTTTTTTAGAGTTTATGCAGAAAATGATTGTATTGTTTCTTGTGAATGGTGTAGGAGAATGGTGGAATAACGACGTCGAAGAGGTTGTTAAACAAGGAAACAAACTGGGATTGCCACCAAATATGTCAGATGCACACACCATCAATGGGAAGCCAGGGCCTCTCTTTCCCTGTTCTGAAAAACGTAAGCCACCGCCTTATGTAGAAAAGTTCTTGCCTACAATGAGCTTATACAATGCACATGGGGGACGTGCAACTAGTTATTGTGAGAGCTACATTGTATATACTCATTGTATGGGAGAACTTTTCCCATTTATGACACTAGATGTTCTGAGACCACTTTTGTCTTAGGGCACTGCCATTTGGACATGAAAAATGAGACTTCGCATTCTCATCCTTCCTTGTTTTTGCTATCTCAGATACCTATGCATTGGAGGTTGAACAGGGAAAGACGTACCTGCTACGAATCATCAATGCTGCACTCAATGATGAGCTATTCTTTGCCATTGCTGGTCACAACTTGACAGTGGTAGAAATTGATGCAGTCTACACCAAACCATTCACATCTCAAGCAATACTAATAGCACCAGGCCAGACCACGAATGTTCTCGTTCAAGCCAACCAAGCGCCCGGAAGATATTTCATGGCGTCTAGGCCATTCATGGACGCACCGATTTCCATTGACAACAAAACTGCCACTGGAATACTGCAGTACAAAGGCATCCCAAATACTGTGCAGCCAGTTCTTCCCCAACTTCCGGCACTCAATGACACAGCTTTTGCATTGAGCTTCAATGCCAAGCTAAGAAGTTTAAACACAGCACAGTTCCCGGCCAGTGTACCTCTTAAAGTTGATCGACATCTCTTTTACACGATCGGGTTGGGAATCAACCAATGCACGACTTGCCTCAATGGAACACAGCTCACTGCTTCTTTAAACAATATCACATTTGTGATGCCCCAAATTGGGCTGCTTCAAGCTCATTATTTCAACACCAAAGGAGTGTTTACCACAGATTTCCCAGACCGCCCTCCAACACCTTTCAATTACACTGGTGCACCACTCACTGCCAACCTTGGCACTAAAAGAGGCACCCGGCTTAGCAAACTTGCCTTCAATTCAACAGTTGAGTTGGTGCTACAAGACACCAATCTTCTCACAGTGGAGTCCCATCCTTTCCACCTTCATGGTTACAATTTCTTTGTTGTTGGGACCGGAGTTGGGAACTTCGACCCCAAAAAGGACCCGGCAAAGTATAACTTGGTGGATCCTCCCGAAAGAAACACAATTGGAGTTCCTACCGGTGGTTGGGTTGCCATAAGGTTCAGGGCTGATAATCCAGGTAAACACATCAAACTAACCAAATAGCATGCTACATTAAACTTCGAAGTTACTAATTAAGCAAGAATAATCTCTCTTCTTTTTTTAGATATTTCACTAATATTTTGAACGGTAATTGATCATCTTTAGGTGTCTGGTTCATGCACTGTCATTTGGAGCTCCATACCAGCTGGGGTTTGAAGACTGCATTCGTGGTGGAAAATGGGAAAGACTCAGATCACTCTATCTTGCCTCCACCTACAGACCTTCCACCTTGTTAGTCCCTCGAACAGCAGTGGAGTACTTCTTGAGGAACACAAACCATTGTTTGTTTTGAGCCTTTTGGCTGACAATTTCTTGCAAACACTCCTACAAAATGCAGGAGTTGTGCAAGAAAAATTCTTGTTTAAGACCCAATAAAAAGGGTGTAATGTGTATTGAATTCTTTTAAATGCTAATTTTAAACCCTGTTTCTTGCAACAAATTTCTGGGATGACATTGGCCCCAAGTTTTTAGGTTGAATCTACCAGAGCTTAAAAAGACCTGCATTAAACATATCTGAGGAATTTCTTTCGAAATTCAAACTCGGAAAGTTGTGAGTGAGAGATATCAGTCTTTATGGAAGAGTAACCCGATTGAATAATTCTAACAAGCTGAGGCTCTGATAACCAAAAAAGCAAAATAGTTCAGATCACACGTAGGGCCTAAGCCATACATATCAGGCTTCAAAATTCAAAGCATTCAAAAAAGAGAATCTCTGTTCCCAAAAATCCAAACTATAGGAAGAAAGAGATGGGGAAAGATGAAGAGATATAATGAAACATATTAAACCTATAAAGGAAGATGAAGAGATATAATGAAACATATTAAACCTATAAAGGAAACAAAAATCACCAAAATGCATCCTACATGACAAATGTAATGAAAGTAATGGTTCAATCCATCTGCCATTATAGTCAACAATCACAGCCAAATTCAAGATGAACTTTTATCTCAAAAATTTCAACAAGCTAAGGTGGAAATCAGGCTTGATTGCAGTCACTTCTTAGAAAAATGTGTGAGGTTCTTTTGAGGTCCAGTTTGGATTCAAGGTCTATCGTGGCCTGTTTGATAGCCGAGAAGAAATTTGCTTGAGTTCCCTGAAAACGGTAATAATTCAACATTATAAGACCTTATATACGGACAATATATATGAAGCATTAAAAATCAATAGAACTGAGCTCAGGAACATGTCTTTGCATTCTTAACCAGACTCATGCACTCACTAATCTGGCCCAAGAAAAATAAGGTCAAATATTCAAAATGTTCCTTTCAAACACTTAGAGACCTAACTATAAGGCAAGGGTGGCTATATGGCGATCAATACCATTTTTAGATGGCATTGCAAGATTTTGTCCTTAGTAAGCAGTATAACAACCAGATATTGAATAAACAATTGGTCCCAAAGCTTAGAAGCAAGGTTCTTCTTGTTTTGCTTACTATATTATTAAGGATTTTAGAATTTTAAATAGACAAATGAAACTTTTACATCTGTCGTGTAAAAATAGTACATACCTCTCTAGGAAAAACCCTTTTGCTTGTTATGTCCATCTTACACTAGGTTATGTGGGAGCCATCGTTTATTTATTTATTTTATCAATCGGGGATGGAGGATTTGAATTTGAGACATCAGCCAACATTGGGAAGAAACGTACCACTATATCAAGAGCTAGTTGGTATGTGGTAGCCATCTTTTATGGTGGATTTCACTTGTGT